TTAAGTTTTGAAAAGTTGCTATCATCACATATTCAAGACTAATACATAATTAGGTTTCTCTTCCAACTTTAGTCTTCAAATATCAATGGTCAGAAGTTTTAAAAACAGAACTCACCAGAAATGTATCCCTAGCCTGCCCCTGTAATTACCTTCATGTCATAGCCGTATGTTTCCCGAATATCTTCATCAGAATCTGTTTCTTCATCATCATAGTCCACTGTTTGACGGGGGGAAGATGACACACTACTCGCCACCCGGCTAAAAGCAGACTGTTGGAAACTAGGTAAGTGTCCCTAAACAACAAAGATGAACAGACAAATAGACTAAACAAACATAAGCAATTAACATATGCTTAACATTAACAAAGTATAACTAACTTACTTAAAAAGCAGCTAGTAAATGATGCTACAGTCTACCTGAACATTTTCAGACTGCATTTCACTGAAGTGACTTGAATTTTTACTGAAGGGAAGAAAAGCAAAGCTGTGTATGCAGAAGGAAAAAGATGCTATACATCATATAACTGCTGGCAAATTATAGCCGCTTTTCTACTTAAGTCAACAAGTTAAGTCCATTTAATTCACTAGTCACTAACTGACAAATACTACCACATGAAACACAAGAAAGTAAATTAAAAGCTGACCTGTAAGTCTGGATTGGCAGCTGCTTTTTGGAGTTCTGCACTGATGATCTTTTCAGTTTTTTCTCGTGCTGCTTGTTCCACCATCCGTTGGCTTAACACAGAGAGTTTGGCCAAGGCAGAGGACAGTTCATCTGTGGCTAAGGCTTGCCGTGCTCTATCTTGCCAACTCATGGCACGTTCTGTCAAACACTGAAGTGCCTCTCCTTCAGGCAACCGTACAGGCAACTTCTGAAGGGATACCAGGAGTGACAGAATAGTCTCTAGTCTGGGCCTTCGAGATCTCATACAAAGAGGGCAAAGGAATTTTACGTCTTTAGCCTGCCAGCTAGATCCCTTTTTCTGGGAACTTGATTTAGGCAGGGGAACACAGCTGTTATGGAACCAGTCTTTGCAGAGCTCACACTGTAGCATAAACCCACTAGCTGTCTTGCGGCAAACACAAAATTTTACTTCTTCTATGCGGTCCACAATTGTCATCTTGGCTAGGTTGGCTGCTCTGAGGGAATGCATGGCCTCAATCTCTTTTTGTTCTCGTTCTTTGAAAACTGCCACCTGTACACAACAAGCATTTAATTAAAAGGAGTCATTCTAAAATGCCCACAAAGCACCGAAGAATGTAGGTGGCAATTTCCTGAAATGTAGGTAACCCTTTCAGTTTCCACATAAACATTACCCATTTAAAAAATGGACAAACTGCTATGATATCTGACAACTTACAACAGGAAACACACGCACACACACACACACACACAAAATCCCACCAGCACCACTACTACTACCACCACCACCAACAAAACAATTAAAGCTACTCAGAAGTATGGACTACTAGGATGGAATACTTTTAAGTATTAAAAGAACAACAATAAGGAGTAAGTGTGAAGCTTGGGGATATAACTCAGTGAAACATTTGATCAGGATATATAAGGTCCTAGGTTCAATTCTGCCCCACTTCCAAAGAAAATAAAAAGATCCTTTTGGGAAGAGAACAAACAGCAAACTTTTTATACTATGATACAGGTAAATTATCAGTTAAAAACCTGCTAATATCTTTCACAGAACTTTGAATTCACAAAGCAAATCCAAGGTTAATCACTTAGTTCCTTACCACCATGGCTGTATCTCTGGTCTCCTCCAGTCCTTCTTCTAAATCACTCAAAGGTTCAAGGTCTAGGTCCTTCTCCTTTTCTTTTTCTATTATTTCTTTTACTTTTTTTCTCCTACTTTTTCCACTCCCATATACACCAATGTCAGTTCGAGGACTTAGCACCTAAAAAATTTTAAAAATATTAACTCTAGTTTAAAAACAAAACAAAACCAAATCAAATCCCTTAAGAGTGAAAATAACGAACTACTGGCAATGCCCAAGGTACCTGTTTATTATCTTTAATATTTTAGAGGCAGGATCTTACGCTGTAGCACAGGCTGGCCTACAATTTATGGTGATCCTCTCGTCTTAACCACCATACTAGGGATCCATGTATGTCATTCATTTAAATTTTCATAACAACTGTACATAGCAGGCATTACTTCCCAGATTTTATTGACGAGAGAGACAAGGGACTTGTCCGAGGACAAAGGTTAAAATTCCAAAGTCTATCCTCTTTGACTACTGTGCTCAACTGCTCAAGATAAAAAGAATTAAATTTGTGCCTCTGAGGATAAAATCTTTAAACAGAAGTTAAGATATATGCTGAAGCAGGGTGGTGGTAGTGCACGCCTTTAATCCAAGCACTCAGGAGGCAGAGGCAGGCAGATCACAGTGAGTTTGAGGACAGCCTGGTCTACCAAGTAAATTTTGATACAGACCCTATCTCAAAAAAACAAACAAAAAGATATATGCTGAGTGCCTTTTCTGGATACAGCACAGATTAGTAAAAAGAGCTTGTCCAAGACTCCCACAGTTTTCCATCCAACATCTAATACTACGTAATAGAAATTAATTATAATGATGACTAAATTAACTGGAAAGAACCTTTCACCAACACAGGTAGCAATTTATTAATAGCTGTGAGAGGGCCGAAGAACACACACGATTTTCACCTGTAACAATGTGTGGCTGGAATTCTTTTTAAGAAAGGTCCGCCCAGTCCGTTCTCTCCAGGCCCGTGCTGCTGCGACCTGTGATTCCACTTGAGGCAATGCATCAAGACGCACAGGGATGGGGCGTCCTTTAGCAGATAAGCTCTCAAGCTGCTCCAAGTAAGCATAGTTGCTGCCACTCTGGAAAAAGAAAAAGCAGATTCACATATAATTTTAATTCTTTCGTGGAGTATGGCAATATACTATTTGGGGAACTTGGTTTAGTGTTTTCTTTTCTTTCTTTTTTTAAAAATACTAACAGGGAATAGAATCCAGGCCTTGTACACTAGGCAGGCACTACACCACTAAGGGACATCTTCAGTCTTAGTATTAACTTCTGTGTTAAATCAACTAACTAGATTTCTTTAATGAATTTAATTTCTACAGAAAAAGTTCATAAATTAATTTAAAAATTAATTTTAGAAGCCGGGCGATGGTGGCGCATGCCTTTAATCCCAGCACTTGGGAGGCAGAGGCAGGCGGATCTCTGTGAGTTTGAGACCAGCCTGGTCTACAAGAGCTAGTTCCAGGACAGGCTCCAAAACCACAGAGAAACCCTGTCTCGAAAAACCAAAAAAAAAAAAAAAAAAAAAAAATTCATTTTAGAGACAGTGTCTCAATAATGTAGACTTGAATAGCCTGGAACTCACTTTGTAGGCCAGGTTGGTCTCATATTCAGAGATTCACTTGCCTCTGCCTTCCAAAGAATTAAATGTTTTGGGGGAATTAATTTTTTTTCTTTTTCAAGTATATTCTTTTAGTAGTCATATATTCAAATTAGTTATTGAATATTGACCCAAAGTTGTTTTTTTTTTAAGATTTATTTATTTATTATGTATACAACATTCCTTCCATGTATGCTTGCGTGCCAGAAGAGGGCACCAGATCTCATTATAGATGGCTGTGAGCCACCATGTGGTTGCTGGGATTGAACTCAAGACCTCTGGAAGAGCAGTCAGTGCTCTTAACCTCTGAGCCATCTCTCCAGCCCTGGGAATTAATTTTTTAATGAACAAGTTACCAAAAATTTTAATAATTAAGGGGACCAACAGGATAAAAGTTCAAAGGAGAAGTAAAGAACAGAAATGTATAAATGCAACTGGAAATGAAGAACGGGCAGTGGTGACTCACATCTTTAATCCCAGCACTAGGGAGGCAGAGAGAGGCAGATCTCTGTGAGTTTGAGGCCAGCTTGGTCTACAGAATAAGTTCCAGGACAGCCTCCAAAACTAGAGAAACCCTGTCTCAAAAAACAATGAAACAAAAACAAAACAGAAAAAAAAAAAAAAGAATGAATTTGCTATTAGATGCAAATAAGTCTCTTTAAGATTTATTTTTATTTCATGTGTATGAGTGTCCTGCATGAATGTATGTGTACTATATACAGTGCCCACAGAGGCCAGAGTTATTGAATCTCCTTGAGCTGGAGTTAATAGATTGTTGTGAGCTGCTATGTGGGTGCTGGGAACTGTAGTCAAGTCCTCTGAAAAAGCAGTAAACCCCCTTAATCCCTGAGTCCTTGCTTCAGCCACCATAGACAATGTTACAGAGGACAACGGAAGAATCCTTTTGGCAGAGTGGAAATCCATTTTACCATTACAACTCCAAATTTAATTTGTATTATTTATTTATTTATTAATTATGTATACAATATTCTGTCTGTATGTCTGCAGGCCAGAAGAGGGCGCCAGACCTCTTTACAGATGGTTGTGAGCCACCATGTGGTTGCTGGGAATTGAACTCAGGACCTTTGGAAGAGCAGGCAATGCTCTTAACTTCTGAGCCATCTCTCCAGCCCCGATTCTATTGACATAAAACTAAAAGCAGTATCTTATATTGGATAACCACCTATTGCTTATGTTATAAAAAGAAAGCTATGAACAACTACTTTCCTCCTAAATTCATGGTGTTTCAGTATTGCCAAGTAATGAAATCATTGCTGTTTTAAGAACCATTATACTATATTCTAATAAAATATTATTTCTCTTGTAGCAACTAACATAACTCTCTGAAAATTTATTTTGAAAGATATACTGACACATCTGGGAAAAGAAAGACAAGAAAGCTATGAATTTATGGTAGGAATGACGGTGTATACCTATAAACCCAGCACTCAAAAGAGAAAGTGGATTCAAAGTTCAAAGCCTGCTTCAGCTACATGGCAAATTTGAAGCCAGGCTGGGCTATATGAAACGCTGCTTTAGAAAACAACCAAATAAATCTATGAATAATTTAAAATAATAATATAGAGACTGGGATCAGAGAGATGGCTCAGCCTGTGCTCGCTTCGGCAGCACATATACTAAAATTGGAACGATACAGAAAATATTAGCATGGCCCCTGCACAAGGATGATACGCAAATTAATGAAGCATTCCAAAAAAAAAAAAAAAAAGAGGTTTCAGCTCATGTAGAAGACCTAGGTTCAGTTACCAACACCCACATGTCAGTTCACAACAATCTACAACTCCAGTTCCTGGAAATCCAATACACCCTTCTAGCTTTTGTGTGGGCTTCTACATGTATGCAGTATACATACATACACTCAGGCACAAATACATTCATATAAACAATGACTTTAAATAATAATATACTCTAACATTATGAAATTCTCTAACAGCACAATCACTAAGGTACCAAGATAAGAAGAGTCAGTTAGCTAAGCATACAGATAAATTTGCTGAGATACTGCCGGGCGGTGGTGGCGCACGCCTTTAATCCCAGCACTCGGGAGGCAGAGGCAGGTGGATCTCTGTGAGTTCGAGGCCAGCCTGGTCTACAAGAGTTAGTTCCAGGAAAGGAATCAAAGTTACAGAGAAACCCTGCCTCGAAAAACCAAAAAAAAAAAAAAACAAAAAAAACAAAAAAAAAATTTGCTGAGATACTGAAAGGGTCAACAAACACATTCACTCTTACTCCATCTGGTGCCAAACTATTGTCCCTGGACTACAGAATACCTTCTAGGTAAACCCACAAGTCAAGCAACCTGAAGAAGGAGTGTCCTACTAAAAAAAACTGTTTACTCTACCAAAGGGAAGGACTGACAGTCAGTCCTTAAATATTACTAAGGAGGTAAATCAGTAGTGGTGGTACATTATTTTTACCCCAGTACTGGGTGGCAGAGGCAAGAAGATCTCTCTGTGTCTAGGCTATCCTGGGCTACATACATAGTAAAGTTCCAGGCCAGTTTCCAGGCCTCTGAGTTTCAGGCACATCAGGGGTACACAATAAGACCCTGTTTCAAAGAATATAAACAATAGAACAAACAAATGCTGTGAAATAATTTTATGTCATGAAATATAAATGTCTTTTCTCTAAAAAATTGAATATATAACTCTATCATCTTTCCAAAACAAAACTAGCAACCTTTAAGTATTTACTATTTATTCTGAATTATAAAATCAGAGGAAAGAATAGGTGATCTTTAGGTACTATTATATATTTTTTCCTCTTCTCAAGACAGTTTCTCTGTGAAGTTGTGGCTGTCCTGGAGCTCCCTCTATAGACCAAGCTGGGCTGCAACTCAGAGAGATCCACCTACCTCTGCCTCCCAAAGGCTGGGATTAAAGGCATGCTACATTACTGCCTGGCTAGCTACTATTACTTTATCCTGATAATTCTAAAGAAGCAACGTTTACATAGTATATTTATGAGAATGTATTACCTGATAGGTAGGCTAATCTGAAAGTTCCTTTACCTGAATAGCTTCCACTTTAGCTGTCCATTCACGAGCCTTTTGTAAGGCTTCTTTTAAGGACAATACATTGGGTAGAAAGGCTGGAATGTTCTTGGCTTCATTCACAATATTTTCTAAATTTGCCATACTGTGTCGAGGTCTAAATGAATAAAATAATAAGATACTAAGTAAAAGTCTAATCACTATAAGAATTAAAATAGCATTTTATAATGTATAAATAATTCATACTCATGAGCTTATTTAATTCTTAACAAATTCCCAAAAGCAACAAAGCAGCTACCATATTTATTTCTGTTTTACAGACAAGAAAACTAAGGCGTTATTTCTCTTAAAATAATATAGTACATGACACACCTGATGTACTGATTTAGAATGAGTCTTGGCGCTAGGCTCCCTTTCCTACTGAGTCCTAGACTACCTCCACTCTACCTCTCTAAAACACCTACAATGATCAGAGAAGGGTGATGGGCATGGGCTATCAACAAAGGAAGTAACAGAACAGAAACCCATCTATGTTGACCATATACTTTCCTTCAACTATATTCATTAATATCTAATTATTCCCTGATGAACAAAACAAAGACTTCATTCTCATTAATCAAAACCCAAGAATTACACTCTTCCGGGAAACTAGGAACAAATTATTTTAGGCTCATAGCCATGTAAAGTAGTAGATAATTCTGCCTAGAAAATTCAAAGTACTTTGACCAAAGCCCTAAACAAATAAATACACTATCTAATGAAAGAAAGTGGAAAAAGGTATGGACAAATTTTGCTTTTAAGTTGGCAGTTTTAGCTGGGATGGGAGCAGGGAAAAGTTTGAATGATGTAGGAAACAGAAGAGTTTAGGCAGTACACACAAAAGAATCCAGAGCCCCACAGATCCACTACGTAAATCAGTGGGAAGTTTACAAAGACTGCCGTTGTCGAATTGCCAAGAGGCATTCCAGGTACTGGAAACTGTTAATGAGCCAGACTGGCTGATCTTTTTGCCTCAAAAATCTTTTCAAACTTGGAAGGAGGATTTTGTTTTGTGGGTTTTTTTTTTTTTTTGTTTGTTTGTTTTTTTTTTTTTTTTGAGACAAGTTCTCATGTAGCTTAGGCTGGTCTTGAACTCTTTATTCTTCAGCTTCTACTTCTCAAGTCTCTCTCTCTCTCCCTCTCTTTTTCCTCTAAGTGAGAAGCCTCAGAGGGAGACCAGAAGAGGATATAGGACCCTGCAGAACTAAAGTTACAGATAGTTGTGTGCTGACCTGTGCTGAAACTTAAACTCTCTGGAAAAGCAACCAGTGTTCCTAAGCACTGAGTCATTTCTCTACCCCTTGACTTTATTAATGAGACAACTGTCACCAAAATGTTTTCACCTTGCCTGCAGGCAGACCTTAGCCTTCTCTTCCCATCGTTCAGAGACTGTGAGGAGCTCCTGTAGTTCAGCCATTGCTTTTTCCACAGCATGATGAGGTGCCAAGCCTACCCCAGAGTCAATAAGCTTCTTGATGACATCCAAAGTGACTTGCTGTGGGTCTGACAGGGCGAGTCTGACTTCATCCAACCACCGAGCCTGCTGTAGCTCTTGCTTCAGTCCAGGCAGCTCAGGCAGTTCCACAGAGAGACTAGAGCCCATGTCTATCAACATTTGGAGTTTGGAAGAATCTGGGGTTTCATCCATCATGGCCTCTTGGGCACGCTCATGAAATTCTTCTACATCATCCAGCAGATTCTGAAAGGGTGAGAAAACAAAAATAAACAGCAAATTTTGTTTGAAGCTACTGCTACTTAGTTACAGAGTACTTGCCTACTATGAGCAAGGCCTTGAGTCTGATCCCCAGTTCTCAACACTACTACTAAAAAGATAAAAGAGCAAGTGCCAGAAATAGTTCAGGCAAACTATCAATTCTAGGCCCTCTAATAATCCCAAAATATTAGCACCAAAGAGTCAGAAAAGTACGGTACCTGGTAACTAATTTCTATCTATACTCCCTTTTAAAAAGATTTTTTATTTATGTGTTTAAGTGTTCTGCCTATATATATATGTATGTATACCACATGCGTGTGTGGATTCCTGGTGCTCTCAGAGGGCAGAACAAGACATCAGATCTGGAAATGGAGGTTAAACATGGCTTTAAACCACCATGTGGGTGCCGGGATCCAAACCTGGGTCCTCTGGAAGAGGAACCAGTGCTCTTTACTACTGAACCACCTCTCCAGTTCCCATCTATACAATTCAAATGTGGCTGAGTCAATAAAATGTGTCTTTTTATGACAAGGGCTACAAATGATTCATTCAACAGATTTTAAATTCCAACTAACTTAGACACAGCCATAGTTGTAGCATATAGTATAGAGCAAGGTGATTGCTTTGAAGCCTCTACAATAAAAGAACCAGTTTATTTCCCTTCTCTCTCCCTTTCTTTCTTGGGGTTGGGGAAGGGGAATGTGCCATAGTATGTGCACATGGAGGTCAGAAAACAACTTGTGGGAGGTGATTCCCACCCTAGATTACCTTGGTCTCGGGAATGGGACTCAGGTCATCAGACTTAACCTACTGACTCATTTTGCTAGACCCCATACATTCCAATATAGGCAGACAGTATAATAAAGATCTAAGTAAAATATTTCAATTAGTTAGACATTCTAAATGTAAAATAAGGCAACCTAACAGAGAATGACCAAAGGTGAGAAAAGATATTAGTTAGCAGTAGTAACTATATATGACATCAAATCAACACTAAAGCAAAGGGTAAAGAGATGACTCAGCAGATAAAGTGCTTGCTATATAAATGTTGAGGACCCACACAAAGGTGGGGCAGGAATGGTAGCCTGCTTGTAATTAGCACACTTCAGAGCTACAAAAAAGAATCCCCAGGGCAAGCTGGCCAGCTGAATAGGTGAGCTCCAGGTTCAAAGATCCTGTCTCAGTAGAAAGTAGAAAGAGACCCCATCTTATGCACCTGTACAAATGTGTGTCCACATATGAACATGTATATGTAAGTTCCTGCACACAAAGTAAGGAAGGAAGGAAGGAAGGAAGGAAGGAAGGAAGGAAGGAAGGATTAATGAAGAACTTGGAATAGAATGTGGTGGAAAAGGTTCAAGCCTGACAAATATTAATGCCCCCCACCCTTTTTAAAAACAGATCTCCATATAACCTAGGGAGCCCTTGAATTTAGCTAAGTATGACTTTAAACTTCTGATCCTCTGTGATGGTTATTCATAGTTGTCAACTTGACCATATCTGGAATGAACTACAATCCAGAAACAGCACAGTTGTGATTTGGATTTTGAGGCTGGAAGGCACACCTTTAATCTGAACCATACCTTCTGCTGAAAGCCTATGTAAGGACATGGAAGGAGGAAGGTTCCTTCTGTGCCTGCTTGCCCTCGCCTTGGCAGTGCATCCATTACTTCACTGGCATTGCAGCCTACTTCTTGGGGATTCCATCACATACAGAAGACAAGATGAGACACCCAGCCACATGGGACTGAGCAGCTACTAGATTATTGGACTTTCCATTCGTAAATAGCCATTGTTGGACAGCAGCATGTCAGTCATTTCAATAAATTCATTCATATATATGTATATATACATACATAAATACATATGAGAAGGAATGATAAAAAGCTTTAGTTTACACGGATATAAAGAGTCAAGTTTCCCTGTTCTTTCCAATTGCCTAAAGGCCTGATTG